ATTTACTGTCCTGGCTACCCCACTGTTGCCTATATCACTTTGTCCTGTGACCTCAACTCAACTTGATCTATGGGACGTAGACAGAGCAGACTGTGTGGGGTCCCACGGTGGCAGGTAAGGGTGCCGGACTCTGCAGCCAGACTGCCTGGAATTCAAACTCTGAGTCCACCCATCCCAGCTGTGGAATCACAGGCAAGCTACTTCACCTCTCTGTGCCTCAGTTTCTTCATCTGTAAAATGGGGGTGATAATAGCACTGTCGTAAGGACTAACATGGGCTCGCTCACACGCAGTGCTAGTGCCTGGCGCGGGCGCTCTGTGTGGGTCATCTCGCCGTGGTGCACACTTGGCTGACGCCGAGTCATCGCAACACTCCAGGGGGCCTGTAGTGAGGCCCAGGGCACCGGCACAGTCTAGTGGCAATCAGTCGCTGTCTGCTCTGTGCCCAGCACTGGCGACACAGAGAGGGAGCCCCGCCCTGCTGCTCCCAGGGCACACGCTGTCTGTGGGGAGACCGTCCCAACCCACGCAGGGTGTGCAGCGCGGGGGCGAGGCGCGATGGCTATGCTCACGTGGGTAACGTGTGCTGAGTGCCTATGGCGTGCCAGGCCCTACTCTGGGCGCCTCACACGTTTCACGTCATCCTCACAAGAGGACGATGTTCGATGTTCGACAACAATTACCACCGTCCTGCGAACACCTCCGAGGCCCAGAGCGAGGGCACTGGGGAGGCTGGAGGCTTCTCTGTGCCGGACAGACTGAGCAGAGGCTCTTCCTGGGGGGGCCTGTGCGAGGCGCGGCGTGGCTGCGCCGCTCTGCTCCAGGGCCCTTCTGCAGGGAGAGCCAGGCAGGGACCTCCCTCCCCCAGGCCCAGCTCTGAGCACAGGCCCATGTGGGGTGGCTTCCGTGGTGCATGTCCGGGCGTGCACCTGCAGGCGTGCCAGTGTGAGCCAGGCTGCTGTGTCCTTGGTGGTCCCACTCTGGGATCCCACCCAGAGGTCCCAACGGGAGGAGCTGAGCGAAGCTGGTGCTGCCTTCCCTGGGCAGTGGGTGGGCCTGTAGGGCCAGGGGCCTCCCACTTCCTCCCAGTGCTGTGGCCCAAGGAGCCAACAAGCTCCACCCTCAGGCTGGGGACAGAGGCCGGCTGGACGGCTGGCAGGCACTGGGGCCAGAACGTACCTTCCTGTGCCTCCTGCCCCCCCACCCGCAAACCTCCCCAGCACAATTAGCGGTTCTTGTCTCTAATTGATTCCTCTGGTACTCGCAGGACAATTAGAATTTAAATTGCCTTTTACAAAGGTCACAAAAACATGATCAAAGAGGAATCTATTAGAGGGGCTGGTGTAGCCCCTCCTTCCCAGCCTCCCAGAGCCATGGGGTGGAAGCCAGGCCTGGGAGGCCCTTCTGCTACCCTAAAGTCTTTCCCAAGTCTTCCTGGTCTGAATCCAAACTCCCCACCTGGGTTTTCATTTCTGCCCCCCCCAGCCCTGTCTCCCAGGGCCCTCTCCCTCCCCCCGCCTTCCCCCCTCCCCCACTGGCCTGATGCTGTTGCTGGCTGTGCTTCAGATGGCCTGATCCTGCCCCACACCTGCCCAGTGACCTTCAGCAAGCTGCTTGCTCCTCCAAACCTCAGTGGCCTCATCTGTGAAATGGAGCCAGCGCCCTTTGCTTCCCTCTAGCCGTCAGCTCTCTGCTGCTCTCAGGCCACCTACCTTTCTGCCTCCAACAGGGAGTGTCTCTGAGTGCCCGTCCTCTAGCTCCTCTGGCTTCTCTGGCCATGACTGTGGCCACACAGGGCCATGCTGCTCCTACTACCCCAGGGTGCACGGCAGGGACTGTCTACTTCTCCCACTGTCTCCTATAGCAGCCTGTACAGGGCCGGGCACATGGCAGGAGGGGCTCAGGGCACGGACCCAGCTGACAGATGGCAAGGTTGGCTAAAAGAGAGCCCATGAGGGGCTCGTACCGGGGTAGAGGGCAGGCAGGACAAGTTCGCATGCGAGTCAGGTCTGCCTTGACCTCCCCATCCATGTAACAGGGGCTTGGCTGGGAGGTCTCTGGCGGCCCTGCTAACTCTGGCCTTGCTCTTGGGTAAGCTTGGGATTGCTAGTCTGGGGCTTGGGGCTGGAGGAAGCTGGATGGGGTGGCCTTGATGGTGTCTGGGGGCCTCTTTTGGGCCAGCCAAGTCGTTGAGGCCAGTGTGGCCCAGCCCAGCTGCTGGGGCTGGGAGGGTGGACAACAAGGCCAGGAGACACTTGGCCGCTAGAGGCCTCTGGATCCTGGACCCCTCGGCAGGGTCTGAGAGCCCCAGCCCCAGGCCCACCCCCACGCAGATTCTGCCACTCAAGCTGGAAGGCAGGCGCTGCGGGGGGCGGGGATGAGGCTCCGCTGCTCTCTCCTGCCCTGTGGCCCTCGCTGGGGAGTGGCCCACCTGGCAACTCCATCAGACTCAGAAAGGGCATGTTCACGGAGCACCTGCCCCGGGGCCAGCCCCCAGGCCAGAGGCTATAGATGTCTTAGCTGGCAGAATCTTTCTGGCAAGCCTATATGTCGCCACTTCACAAATGAGAAAATAGGCTAAGAGAGGCTGCACATCTTGCCCAAGGTCACACAGTGAGAGACCAACATAGCTGGAATTTAAAGCCACACTTGCTGGGTTCCAGATAGAAGCCCTGCATGACCTGGCCCATGGATGGAGCTGGTTAAGGAATCCAATGATTATTAAGGGATCCAATGAGTATTTCATGGCACAAAACCAGCACTGGGGGCACCACAAGCGGCAGGATGTCTTGTGCCTCCACTGGAGCGTCAGGGGCCCAGAGGGAGGCAGCGTGGCTTTGGGGACAGCTGAGCAAGGCACCAGTGTCTCTGCTCCCTCCACTGCAGCCCCAAGGCTAGAAGACACCGTCATCCCTCATTCAGAAGCAGGCAGAGAGCCTTGGGTGGGGAGGGTTACCTGGGTAGTCCAGCCTGATCGCCAGACCTGGCGGGACTTCATTTGGATGCTGGAGGAGGCAGCTCTGGCCGAGGCGTCAAAGAGCAGGAAGCTGCTGCTCACATTGAAAAGGAGAGGCAAGAGGGCGGAGCACGGGGTGAGGGAGGACTTCCGCTGTTCCAGAGTGGGGATCCAGCAGAGCCCTCTCTCCGTGCCCGGTCTTGGGGACCCTCAGTCTTGCCCTGCTAGCAGAAGGGACGTGTCTAAGAGTGAGTGGGGTGCTGGGGTGCCTGGGAGTGGGTGGAGGGGCTACTCCTGCCCGGGCACCCTCACTGGCGGGACTGCCTGCTCTGACCCTGGGTCTGGCTGAGGCTGGGTGGGGCCAGGCACTCAGCCAGTGCCTGAAGCAGGAGCCGCCTCTCTGTGGCCATAAATGCCCCAGTCTAGGCAGGTAGTCCGCAGAACTGTTGTGACAGCAGTGGTTAAATCAAGTGGCCGTCTCAGAGCCAGGCATGGCAGGTTTCCTGAGCTGGATTTATGGCCTCCCTGCCCCACTACGCACCCAGCCAGCCTGGGCCTCCCCAGCACCCTGCCTGCCTCAGGGAGGCCCCTCTCTGCTGCCAGGAGCCCCTCCCATGTCAGGGAGCTGGCTGGGGCTGCTATGCCTGGGCCACAGGAACTGGGAGCCTCTGGCACTGGGACCCTAGAGCACAACACTGCCTGCCATGGTCCTCAGAAGAGGAGCCCAAGGCCAGGGAGGCGTGAGGCCACATGGGGCCTGGTTTATCTCAGACACCCACACTCTTCTGTTCAGGACTCTGCCCGGGCCTGCAGCCTCTGAGGCCCTGGCTGGCCTGGGCCCGCCCCTCACACTGCCCACACCACCTGCCATGCTCCCTCGCCTTCTCCCAAGCTGCTGGGGGAGGTGGTGTCCTTCTGGCCCATGCCCCTTCAGCCTTCCTTCTCTCCTGGAGTCTAGCGCATGGTGACAGCGCAGGAGGCGGGGCCTTCTCACACGCGTGTGCCTGCGTGCAAGCTCGAGTGTAGGCGGCAGCCTGAACGTGCCAGCACTGCAAGCGACTTCAGGCTGAGACACTGAGCTTGGAGCATTTCATCTGCAGCACCCACTGACACGGATGCCGTCAGATGTTTACTTGGAGCAAACGGAACCTCAGTAAGTAATAGTCCTACACAAGAATCGATACACAGGACACAGAACGCGTGGGACTTGGAACCCCAAAGCATCCTTAGACCAATCTGTTCCTTGGAACGGTCTGGTCTCGAATGCCCAGGTCCACATGTGATTTTGACTAATGTGAGCCCAGAAGGGTGATGCCCCAACTTTGCCCCCAACCCTGGGCTCTTAACAGATTTATGCCCAAGCCAGAGGGCAGGCCTGCCCCTTCCCTGGTGCTCACTGTCGGGACACTCTTAAGTCATATTAATCAGTGGAAAAAGTGAATTGTAGGTGGCTAGTGACCACTACTCAAATTATAAAGTCATACTCAGCTCAAAGATATTCTTGAGCATCGGTGGCTCTGGCGCGTGCTCCCTACCTCTCCCTACCTCTGTCTGCGTGGGCCTCACCTGCAGGGCAGCCTTTGGGCCCCAGACAGTGCCGAGGCTGTGCCCCCCAGGGGCAGCTGATGCCTCAGCCCACCCTGCCACACATGGGCTCCTGCCTGTCTTGGCTCTCTTAGGCCTTGAGGCTGCAAGTCCCACTCCGATTCTCTGCTGGAGGCCAAGGCTGTCAGGAAGGCCAGGAGGGGCTCCCTGTCTCCAGAGCAAGGTCTCAGCCTGGCTCTGGGTCCCTGTAGGCTCAAACCCCGGCCACCCTTTCCAAACCCTCATCCCTCCGCTCCTCAGTGCACGCCGCTCAAGGACTTGCAGTGTCACCGTGCCTTGCACTTTCCCACCTCCCAGCCTTTGCTCAAGCTGCCGCCACCTCCTGGAGGCCCTGCCCGCCCCGCACCATCCCTGCCTGTTGGGTGGTCCTCCAGGCACAGGGCGCAGCCAGGGGGGGCCCGCACTGTGTTGCTCAGCCCTAGAGAACGGCTGGTCCTCACCTGCCCCATCCGGGTCCTGGGCTTTCCCTGCACGTGGAAGCAGGCTGATCCGATCTGGGATGAGTGCAGACAAAAGGCCCATCCTGCCCTGCTGGATCCTCAGTGGCCTGTAAAGCGGGGAGAACAGCCCTGCTCAAAGTCCCTGTGCTCTGCCCTGGCCGCTGTGGTCCTCAGGCTTACAAAAGAGGAGTCAGCATGAGAGGGGACAGCCTAGGGCAGAGCAGTGCTCGTGGGGGAGGATGGAGTCCAAAGGGGAGGGCCGGGGGGGGGCCTGGCTGAGTCAGGACCCACTTGCGAGCAAACTGCAGGGTGAGAGTGGAGAAGAGGGGGTTCTCTCTGCTTTACGGTCTGTGAATGGTGGGGGGCTGTAGGCAAAGGCAAGGAGGTACAAGCCCTGCGGCCAGGGCCTGGGGGAGTGGGCAGGTGCTGTGTGTACATGTGTGTTGTGTGGCAGTCAAATGTGTGGTATGCAAATAACAGCATGCACATGTACCTGTGTGTATCTGCGTGTTTATGCCTGTGTGTGTGGTGTGTATGCGTGCCGAACGAGTATGCATGTGTATATGATGTGTGTACATGTGCCTGCATGGTATTGTGCAGGGTGTGTGCAAGCAATGTGTGTGTGTTTGTGTACACAGTGAGCATCAAGTCTCCTTGCCCAACACCCTTGACCCTGGACCTGTCCCTAGGCCTCTCAGATCTCACAGTTGCCCCGAACAGGTGCAGAGAGAGACCGCCCCCACTTTTCTCCTGAGGCTGCTTTTCTCCTAGCAGAGCAACCGGTCCTTCTCATCGTCCCTCCTTGACTGGTCCTGGATGAGCCCAGAAACTGAGGTCTCTCCCTCTGGGTGCCCCACTTCTCTTAACAGAGCCTGAAACTTCCAGAGCATAGGTCTCTGGGGTGGCCTGCCCTCCCCCACCTCTGTCCCCCATGCCAGGCCCTGCACAGCCCTCTGACTCCACCCCCTTGCTGGAAGGAGCCCTGTCCTAGTGCCAGAAAGAGGAACAGCGAAACTGGGCAGAGAGGATTAGTAAACGACCCGCATCCAGCAGCGGAAAAGGGTCTCCAGGGAGGTGGCCATCACTGACTCAGAGTAAAACTAGTTTCAGGCCCATCTCGGGGAGCATGGGCCTGTCCTCCTGGGGCCCACTGCCCTTCAAGTGACTGCCTGTCCCTTCCAGCCCTTCTGATATTATGCTCCAGGCTTGCCGCTTGCCGAGTGCCTCATGGGAAGAATGGGGAATAAGTGACAGAGGTCAGCTCGCTCCCGCCTGCCTGGGGAGCACCCACTTCTGTTCTGGGGTGTCTTGGGGTCTGGGCTGAGAAGCAGGTTGCCAGAGGCCCTCTTGTGACTCTGCACCATCCCTGAGGTGCCACTGTCAGCTGCCGGGGGTTCCTCCTGACTGTAATATCCCTGTCTTCCCCATGCTTTTCTAGGTGCTGAGACTTGGCAAGCTTCTGTCACCCCTTATTCATGCCTGGTGCCTGGCCCTGGCCCACCCTGCTAGGGCAAGCAAGAAAGCAGAGGAGGCTTACAGCTGGGGACCTGCCTAAGAGGTAGACGGAGGGCCCAGGCCCTGACTTCAGGTGGGTAAGAGGCCAGCAGATAACACACGTATGCACACACACAGGTGCACACACACACATGCACAGTGGAGGTCTTGGGTGGGGGCAGACTCAGCCCTTGGGGAGGGAGTGCTAGGAAAGAGCCCCCTTCCAGATCCAGGGGTTGGGGAGGTAGAGCTTCCTGGCTAGGGCTGGGCCCGGGGCAGGCTGAGGAGGGAGCAGCACAGGGCAGATGCGGAGGTGAGCGAGTGGGAGAGAGCTGGTGGGGAGGGCCCAGGGGCATTGCAAGAGGCAGAGGTGGGGGGCTGCAGCCCTGCTGCAGAGGGGAGGGCAGGAGGGCATGCGCTGACCTGTCCAAGCTAGCTGAGCTGAACATCAAAGCCCAGAGTGTGTTCCCAGGGTGCTGGTCTCCCTCCCAGGGAGAGACAGGTGTCCCTTTGATGATGAGAAGAAAGGATGTTGCACAGCAAGGGTGGGAGGGGAGCAGGAAGATCATGTCTCCTCCCCGCGGCCACCCAGGCAATGGGGAGTCCATCACAAATATCACGTCCTCCACTTCCAAAGGACTGTGAAGCCAGACCTGTCACTAGATCTTCTTCTGCCAAAGGAATGGCAGCTGCACTGGGGTCAAGGGTCTAGCAAGGGACCAACCACTAGCCACTTCCTGGCACCTGCAGCAAAGTCCTGCCGGCTAATCGGGAGTGCAATGGCAGGATGGCGCATTCTGCAGGAGCTAGAGCAGTGCAGGCTCAGTGCCCACGGGCCACTTCACACCTCCCTTTGCAACCATGTGTGTGCACGTGTGCCAGCCTCAGGAGCATGCTGTGTGCGGGGCTGCCCCTCCGGCCCCAGCTGGCCCTTCACTCCAGCAAGACTGAGACATGCTTCCCTTGCAGGCCCTGGGCTTGTCTGAGTCCCACCGACCCCTGGCTCCCATAGTCCCCTCCCTGCCACACCTGCAGCACCACCTCTAGGCCATAGGCTGCCTTGGCAAGAACCAGCGAAGGGCGTCTTCCCTCCAGATGCTTTTCTGCCATCTGCCCAAAATTCTCATGGTCAAGGCACACATCTGGGATGGCCACATTGTGAGTGGTGCCTCTGGAGGCACGAGGGGAGGCCTTGAGCCTCTTCCTGCCCCTCCTCTTGGAAGCCCAAAGCCCTGCAGGAAGCCCTCTGATCACTCCAGCCTGGGCCTTCACAGCGCAGGGGTGGCTATAAGCACTCTGCCTCAGGGCTCAGGGTTGACAGTGCAGGGCACCTCCAAGGAGAGGCTCAGCTCCCTCCCGGGGGTGCCAGCCTCCTCACTCCACTGTCGCACACGACAGAGAGGGCATCTCAGCCCCGTCTCCACCAGGGCCAGAAGGGGCCAGGGCGGGGGGAGCAGCTAGGCCGTGGGCAGACCCAGAGGGTGGACTTTCCAAAGAGGCTGGATTAAGAAGGCTGCAGGCGCCCTGTTGTTTTCAGAGCCTGCTGAGCTATACCAGGGACCTCCCTAAGACATTTCCTCCTGGTCCTCGAGCTGGAGCCATGAGCCAAGCCCTCTCTTCACCTAGATGCTGGCTGGGAGGATGCTCTGCCCACCCGCAGCCTTCTTAATCCAGCCTCTTTGGAAAGTCCCTTTTGTATGGAGGGGACACCTCACTGCCCCCGCCCACACCGCGGGGAAGGCAGATGCCCTTTGCCCCACAGCGCCCTTCTCCCCCCTGCCAAGGCTCTGCTGGGGCTCCGCAGGCCCCCACTTCGACTCTGCTGGGCCTGGCTCCTGCTTCTGGGACTCCAGCCTGCGTGCCGTCGCGGCTCCGGGCCCTGCACCCAGTCTGTCCCCACGTGTCCGTGAGGCCGAGCTGTTCCAAAGACCCCTGGCTGCCCTCACCTCCTCATGGACAGGAAGCCGGCAGACTGCGGCGTCCGCATCTGCTCGCCAGGCATGCCCGGCAGGGCAGAGCCCGCGTCAGTCCGGCCGGAGGACGCCACACGCCCCGAGGGGAGCCGCCAGCCCCGTGGACTTGGCTCTGACCCCTTGAGACAGAAAGTGGGAACAAAATGGAGTGGGGAGGCGGAGAGATGGGAAGAGAAGTTTCCAAAGCCCTGTGTGTGAGGGTGACATCCCACGGCTGCTGCTGACGTGGGAAAACAGAAGCTGCCAGCTTGTTTTCTTGTCCTCTATTTCTAAATGATTTGACATTTTATTCCCCCATCAAACTCTCTATTCTCTGCTAATGGCAGAATAATAAAAAATTATCCCTCACAGCGCGCGCGCGTGAGAGGCCAAGACGGGAGCCCAGGAGCGGGAGGAAGGTTATTATAACCCTGTCGGCGCGTTTATGGCCCTGAATCGGCGAGGGAGGGACAGGGGAGGGCGCCGGCAGCGCACTCTTCACAGCGGCCTGCCAGCTTGGCTAGGGAGTGTAAATAATTTTTATTTTCAGCTGCATTTAAAATACACACTCGCCAGTCATCGTGGGGAGCCAGCCGAGCCTGCTGGGGCCAAGCGGGGTGGGGGCGCCGTCTTTTGGCCCCTTTGATGGGACCGTGCTTGACAATCAGGGCTTTCAAGGGCAGCCTCTGCTGACAAAGGCTTGCTCCCGGCGCGGTTGGGCGGACAGCGGCCGCTACTCTGCCTGGCGGGGTTTGGGAAGGTGGCGAAGGCCCCGCATGCGTCCGTCCCAATAAGGCCTCCCGGTGCCCGCGCTGGCCCTCCCGGCACCGCCGGCCGCGCATCTCCGCATCTCCGTCGGGGGCTGGCCGCTGATCCTGTGACCTCAGACCTGAGGGTTTCATACATGCTGTCACTCCCTGGTCAACATTTATTGAGCACCCACTGTGTGCCAGGACTGTGAGTGTTCAGGGGCAGGGGAACTGAGAGAGACTGCCTCACCTCACTGGCCCTTTGGTCCCTCCTCCTTGAGCACCTCAGAGACCAGATCTCGAGCCCTCTTCTTCTGTAAAATGGGATATCAGTGGCGCTAACTTCATATGGTTGTAGGGTCACCCGAGGTGATGAGTATAGTATAAAGACTTTGTTCTCTGACACAATAACAACAGGTCTTATTTGCTGTGTACCATGATAGGACTACTAAAGCCCCCAGGAACCCCTAGCTGTTCCAGTGTGCCCAGCATGGAGGCCAGGATTGAGGGGAGGCTGCAGGGAGCTTAGCTCTGTCTTCTGGGGGCTCACGGGGCAGGCTGGATGGAGAGGCTGTGCATAGAGCAAGCTGAGCTCACCTGGGCAGGCTCCAGGAGAAGGGGCCCTGAAGGAGTGGGAGGATGGGGAGAGGGGCGGGAGGAGCCTGGCCTGGCGGGAGGAGCCTGGCCTGGCTGGAGTGGAGGGGGTGGTCAGTGGCCACATGGCCTGTGACTTCCCCAGGGTGGTTCCCAAACCAGCTCAAAAGGGGCCTTTGGCACTAATACCCCACGAGAGTTGCATACCAGATATACAGTTAGCACATTGCCTGCCCCTGTGCCTTGAGGCTTCTATCTCTGGCGCCCACTGAATGCCGCCTCTGACAGATGCATGGGGACAACTTGCCATGCCCTACC